ATAATATTCATTTAGATTGTCTACTCATGTAATTCTGTATTGGCAATTTATAAAATATTAAGGTGATCAATTATACTCAAATCAGCATCCTCAACATAATATATCTGACAAAAACTTATAACACAACAGCAGGGAACTCTGAGGTATGTATCCTTTCTTTCTGTAGTATGTATGTTCCGAGGTATGTATTGGAACCGCATAAATACTGTTTATGGAAACTCCTATTCCCCCTTGAAAAGCGAACCACCAGAAACGTAGCACTATCACAAGAAATCTATTTGATTCATGAATTAATGTAATTTTTTTTAAATAGTTTAAAACATAGGTAGGCCGCAAGTTACCTCCATGACGTAGCTGTGGCCTCCAAACGTTTTTGAGCGATATTTATTAATCTAACCCTAGAATTACTCAATATTTAATTAGTTTTGAAACTAATAGATTAAGTTGATTATATGTATATAGGTGTGTGAATTTAGTGATAAATAAAAGTAGCAACAGTAAAATATAAAACATTATCTCTATTAACACTGTCTAACCTTACTACCCCTAATGATAAAGGGTTCACCACCGATGGTTGAAAGAATCAAAACTTAAAATTAATGGAAAATTAAATTTAAAAGTTTAAAGTTTCAAGGTAATAAATATTAAAGTTAACGAACAATCGAACTTTGACAGAAGGATGTCATGTGGTCAACATGCTAAGATGAAACAGAAGGATTTTAATTGACGGCTCTAACTACTTTACTAGCATTCAACACTAGACACTTTTTTTTAATGCTTTTTTCAGTGATACGAATTCAGATAATGGAGAGGCAGGAAAGATAAAAATGTAGCCAATAAGGTAAGACAAATGTTTCCTGTCCTGCGATATTTCTTTCGCCTGGGACAGATAGACAAAACTCATCACTGTCCTGTCTTACATCAGAGGATAACAAGGTGTAAGCCAGGGTTCGAAATATTGGAGACGGTATCCTATATTTTATATCTGCGAAATGCCTTCTATATCGGAGTGTCTCCGCCCCTTAAAAATTAATACAACTAAAACTTTACTAACTGATGTGAATATTGACAACTCGAAATTTTATTCAAATATAAATAATGAAAAGCTACTCTTCTGATAGACTGCTGGTCACAAAATTTGAACGGTTTCTCTGCAATGTTTCCATCCTGGCTTAAGATATAATTTTATCCTTGAAAGAAATTACCGGCCTTAATGGAACATTTAACTTTCATTTTCTATTTAATTTGATTACATATACGCATATACATCAAACTTCTCTAAGAGAAAATTTCACTCCTTATAGAAGAAAAATTTTTAATCTCCTTCAATACAGGGATTTTGATAGAAAAGCTTCTCTCTATCAAACAGTAGGAAACCATTTAGGGACTTATTCTGAGAACTTGAATCAAGTAAAATTCCTCTATCCTGGTCTTCTCATGAAAGAAAAAGCTTTCGAAGTTGCCCAGATTTTGGGTCAAAATAACTTGGTTAGTTGACGCGTTAATGCCTTGATAAATCTAAAATAAGTCAGAATGTTTGGCTTCAGTAATAAGTCATAATTCAAATTCAGATTCTCACTACCATACAAGTATTATAAAACAAAACTAAATTTGCTAGACGCTTTGCAAATATGTTCTATAAGAATGCAAATAGAAAGAAAAAAAAACACATTGTGACGTAAATTAAATCTATTGCAAGCCATGCATTTTACTTAAACGATTTTTTTTTCTGTGCAGTGATGTGAAAACGGAATGCGTATGAGGATAACAGCAGTGGAATTCGTAGCCCAACCGCCGTTTTTTTTTTCTGTTTATTTTGGAACTCAAAAAGTTAAAAATTCTTTCCAGTGCATGATTGCATTATACAGTAATAAGTAATTTCATGACTGTCCTTTCAACCAAAAAAGGAAAAATGGTATAGTTTATTATGTTAAAGTTTATTAAATAGAATTTTTCAAATAAAGTCTGAGAACATAAAATCCTTTTAAAGGTAAATGTATTCATCTAATACATTGATCTGATACATTCTCCTTAAATATCTTATTTTTAACCACGACCATTCATCTACGAGAATTCTCAGAAATCTAAGAAAAACTTAATTAGTTTTATCATTAAACTAATTAATTTAATAAGATACTAAAAACTCCGGAATATCTTCTTTAATAGTCCTAAGGGAGATACTTATTTTCTTAGGTATATAAGTAAGAATTTTTGTTAAAAGTGTTTATTCTCCCAAAACCATTTTTCTCCATTACATAATGACGTTTCGGGATCTACTTTCATATCCCATCTTCATCCTATTTCCGCTTATTTTTTTGTAAGATTTGTCATTTTATTTATTTTAATTGTTTATAATAATATTCCATTCCTTGAAATTATAATGTTGTCTTCTCTTGGAAGAGCCTGATTAAAAAATTAAAAGAAATAATATGACAAACCTCACAAAAAATAAGAGGATATAGGATGAAGATACTGTCTGAAGATGGGATATGACAATAGATCTCAAAACGTCATGATGTAATGGAGAAAAATTGTTTTGGGAGAATAAATACTGTTAACGAAAATTCTTACTTATATAACTCAGGAATACTCCTCAGCTTTCCACTTGAATCGTAACATAATTTGATCAAAACGTCAAGAAAAAAGTGTTCTACAAAAATGTTAGGCTATTTGGCCTCCATCACCTCGTTATTTTGAGAAGTTGGAGGTGGAGGACACGTCATACGGCCTAGTATTTTTTAGGTCACTATTTTCCGGGATTTAATGGCCCGATTATCTTGCGATTCAAGTCAAAAGCAAATGGGTGTTCGTGAGTTTTTAGTACCTATGTAAATAGACAAAGTTTACCGATCCTCAGATTGCAAACAACTAATTTCCGAGAATTTTCGTAAATAAAAAAGCTGTAGGTAAAAGAGTAAGTATTCCGATCGTGAAAGTTTTTGAATATGAGTTTTCAACGAAAACACACGTTTTGAGGTCCATTGAGTCCTAATAACCAAATAAGTCCAGCAAAATGGTCTGTGTGTGTGTGTGTATGTCTGTCTGTGTGTCTCATTATTAAAAGTTACAAAAAAAATGCTAAATATAATTTTTGAGAGAATTTGATAATTGAATAAAGGAGAAAAAAATAAAAATGCTTATCGAGGTCGAAAATGAATCTCCGGAAATACTAATCAGAAGGAATACGATAAGATAAAGCCATTGACGAAGTTTTATATTGATGTTAATAATTTGATAAAATGCGGTCTGTAGCGCTGACTGTAACGAGTTTGTTATAAATCTTAAGAGACATTTTTGATCAAAAAGTTAAATATGTAAAATCGATTTTAGTGGACAATATGCTGTAACATTCCTGGCATAAACTTACAGTAAAGCATCACTTTAGATGTAATGAAACATGTATTTCTGTTGAAAAATCTTATACAAATTTTTCCCATCAAAATCGCATTACTTTCCCTTAATATACCAGTAATAAAACAAAAGAGAAATGTTCTACATCAATATAAACTATAGCTTTAATTCTGGTGGTTAGTGTATGGGTTTAATTCTTTATAATCAATCAGTAATTTTTCATACAAACTTCTGAATTCTTACTATCTATATTACACCAGTATTCAGAGATTAGAGTCCATAAGTTTTTTATATAATTAGAGGAACCTAAAATAAATTCAGCATAATTTTAAACCAATGAATGGTAAACCAGTGATGGGCAAACGCTAATCTAAGAGCTGAGTACCAAGTATTTTACTCAAATACCTGACCTTTTTCGAGTACCAAAGAATTTAATTCAGTTGATGTTATAGGATTCACTGAAGTAGTGATTGAATTCCTAACAGTGATTCGATTTGAGTAAAGTACATGGTACTCGGTACTCAGAGTAGCATTTTCCCATCTCTGTTTAAAACTGCACAACACACGAATGAATCGAAATTTCAAACTTATCTCTTGAAATAAGTGTTAGGGAAAACTCGCTGAAATAAAGGTCCAGCCAAGCTCCATTAACAACTAACTACCAACCGGCTATTGTGGCATGATATCATCTGAGGTTCAGGTATCCCCCCCTCTCCTTCTAATTATTTTAACTACAAATCTACCCATATCCTGACAATCCAAAATCCATCGTAAAATCCTCACTGCTCAGTACTTTGTCACAAATAAAATCATCCATAACGACCTTAATGAGCATTATGTTTCCGACCTGGCCCAATCCAGTTACTCATCCTTCCACAACAAACTTCAGAACCATCCAAACCCTCTCCTTTCTAGCCGCCTTGCTTCCTCTTCGATCCCTGAAATCCCTCCGAGGCATCTGAAAGGAAGATGGCCTTGAGATCTCCTTTTGTAAATAAATTTTTAGAGTGCTACCAGTGATTAGTTTCTCAACAAGTGGTTTCATGTTATTATATTCTTTAGTTCACATTAACTGAATGTATTTTTATTTGTAATACAGCTTTAAATATCATCAATGGGAAAAAAAATATTTGCATACTCTTTTGGACGTATAAATCCTAATGAAATAAAAACTGACTATCCCTATTACAGTCTCACTAACTTGTACAATTACCACTTGTACAATATTTCTTACTGTTCATATTTTTCCCTGCACCACTACAACCCATAAAGTGTCTTGGGTTCAGGCCTATTTAGAGAAAGTACAGTTTCAAGACCAACGGCTGTGCAGGGAAGGGATCGGTCTAGGATCATGCTTAACCGCCAGGTTTTTTTTCTTAATTAATCATATAAGTAAGGGTACTTTGTAGAAGCTGGGTGTGCCCCAGGAAGATTTTCCTACCCCAGGGTCGCCCCACGGGCAATGAATCAGATATTTTTTCTGCCATGAGCCGGGATTGGAACCTGGGACTTTGAGCATTGGAAGCTTAATACCCTACCACTGAGCTACCCCACTCCCTTTATACTTCTATATAGCGATTGTAAAAATGTAATTAATTGTTTGGAATTATTTCATAATCTCACATGCACATGTTATAATTAGATTACAATTAAGCAAAACATGCGATATTAATATGTCCTACCTTAACAGGAATGCAAATCAGGATGAGGAGCAGATCCGCCGAAGCAAGACTGGCCAGAAACATGTTGGTGGTACTCTTCATCCTCCTGTACACGGTGATAGTGAAGATGATGAGGCTGTTGCCGGCGATCCCGATGAGCAAAGTGATGGAGTACACGATGAGGGTAGGCATCAGCTCATCCCAAAAGAATGTGTTAATGGATTCATCAATATCATAAGTGTAGTAATCGTAGAAGGTCTCTGTCGTTCCGTTTTCAGGAAGGTCAGTCGTAAACTCTGAGTCGTTCATCTTGATGGCGGCCTGGACCAGTCCTCTTATCAATACATGATCTGGAAAATAATAAAAAGAAAATATTAGAAGAAGTATTTAAGAAAACGGCAAAAAAAAAATATTAAGAAATTTATTATTATCTTAGGAGAGGCTTCATATCAAAGACGGACATGTGTCATTTTCAGAAAGTGGAGAAAAAGTAAATTTTTGTTTTATATGTTCAATTAAATGTTTTTTTGATGATTTAATTTAAGAATGTTCAAGTTGATTCATAGAAAAAAAACATTAGAAATGGTTTAAAATGGAACTCTGTTACAAACATTGGCCTTTTCTCGACTTATTAAAAATGACAGATGACCGTTTTTTTGATATGAGGCCACTTATATAATTTGATAGAATTTTGTCAAAAAAATGACTTGACATATCGTCGGCACCATGTTAAAGTAACGAATGTTAACCTGCCCAATGTTGCACAAACGTGACTTTATTATTATAGTTTATTATTATAGCACCACTTTACTACATGGTGCAGACGATATTATAGACATTATGCAGACAGGCGTCATATATATATATATATATATATATATACTATATACACATATATACATATATACTGGGAGCTCGGGTAGCCGTACGGGCTAAGGCGCTTGCAATAGATAATCAAAGTTAAGCAACGTCGAGCGTGGATAGTACTTGGATGGGTGACCGCCCGCCAGGAAAAACCACGCTGCCGGAGCCTCTTCCCCTCCTCCCGGGTATGTGAGACCCGTCAGCCTACTGGAGGCAACTCACACCGTGTACTTAATCGAGAATCGGGATGTGGTCTACCAGGATGTTAGTAGTCCCCCTGAGGTTCGGTACATGGACAGCCTGTTTCGGGAACAGAAATAAAGGTCCTCGTGCGCCTGCTGACTCCGAGCAGTCAAAATCCATGAATCTAGACCAATTTGTCACTGTGCTTGAACCCGAGTGAGTCGGGGGAAGGACACTGCCCCATGGGGATCAGCTATGAAGCTACGGGTGGCCTGCCGCGGCACCATGGTTCGTAGCAACGTGAGGTTGGGTGAACCCCTGCAGGCTATCTGAGCTCCCGCATGCAGCATACGTCTGTAAAGAGACTACATCTCGCGGCCAAAGATCTTCATGGTCTGTAGTGCCAACCGAAAAAATATATATATATATTTTTTTTTGTTCTTTATATTTTTAGTAGAAAATAATTTTATTCTAGGAGGAAGTCTTTTTAATGTATATAGGTATAAACGAATTTTAGATGACTTTTATTCTGTTGCACACCATTATGATTTAAGTATATCATTATGACTCATAACATTGTTTTAATTTTTTTTATTTACATTAACTTTAATTTACTTTTTGTAATCTACAAATTTTGTTATTATTACTACTTTATATAAACCCTTTTATTTGTTTATATATTGTTATACTTTTATCATTTTAAGTTCTTTATTACTACTTATCATTATTATTACTTTACTTTATTTGTTTATTATTTTATTTTCTTCGTTCTTAATTATTTATGTTTATTTTTCTTGTATGTATATATTCTATGAACGAATAACTTTAGCTCTAATGCTTATTGCCCTTGGATATAGTGGACTGTATGCTTATTCAATCAATAGAAATATTAGGCTGTCCCATAAGTTCTTTCCCTTTCCTTTAATTGTTGTCTAAGGTTGATTTACTCGGTTGTATGTGGACCGTTCTATTATTTTACCTTCTTCCACCTCTCAGGACGACTCTTGTAACCTTTTTTTAAAATTATTGAGATTTTCTTGTAAAATATTCATCGAAGTACGTCTTTATTTCGCTTTTGTTTTTTTTTTTAATTTATAGTCGGTACAATCGTTTGGGGCAAGGTCTGAGGAGTACGAGGGATGAGGTAGAAAGTCCCAATCAAACTATGAGACTTGAAACAATTGAACAATTTTGAAAAAAAAAAAATGCTTCCTGAGAGATGGAAGAAGGTGATATAGCAGAAAGATTCATATATAACACAGTAAAAAAACTTAAACAAAAAATACAGAAAACGAAAAGAACTTATGGGACAACCTAACATATAATATATATTTATTAGTATTTTCTTTCCTCTTCAATTTAACTTATGTAAACTTAGCAACCAAATAAAGTATTGCGTAGAATATTCGGACCGAAGAAGGATGAGTTAACCGGAGAGTTCAGACGGTTACACAACGCCGAATTGCGTGAGCTGTATCCGCGTAATATAGTTGAGGTAATTTCATCGCGGCGAATCAAATGGGCTTGTAAAGTTGTTGGGCTTAGTAACGAGAGAATTCCTAAAAGGTTAATATTTGCTATGCCGAATGGTAAGCGTCCGAGGGGTAGACCGAAGCGAAGGTGGGAAGATTGCATTAAAGCCGATCTGAAGGGACTGGGTTTGGACGGCGAACGGTGGAGGGAGGTGTGTAACAAGCGATTGGTGGTGTCGGCATCGAACCTTCGGGTTCGCTAAGCCTTATTATTTATTTATTTTTATTATTTATAAACTTAGCAACCTGAACTGAACCTCAGCCAATAATTAATTAATTGATATTTTTCCGTTTCCTTAATCCGTATAATAATTATTAATTAATTGAAATACATAAAAAACAAATAAAAACGTGGATACAAAGACTAATACCTTTGTGTTGTCTTGAAAAATTAGTAACATTTACAATTGGAGTACCTGATGTTAAACTAATGCTAAACACTTATTCACCAGAAGCAGGCGCTTTCAACAGCACCAACTGTTTTAGAAAATTGATCCTTTTCACTCCATCACACTTGTCAAGCGACTTGTTAAATGTACGTAAATAAATACTGCAACTCGAGAATTCTTCTTTTTTTTTTTTTTTAAATATCGTACATCTTATCCGAAACTCATCTTAAATAAGCTATTAATTCAAAATTATTTTTTGTTTCAGTTAATTACCGATATTTCCTTATTAAAAGGTATTTTGATCAAAAAAATTAAAATAAAGAAAAAAAATGGACAGAGAGAACGTCAGGAATTAAATTTTAAATACCTCAAGAAGGACTTAACAAAAATATGATGGAGTCTGCGAATAAAATTACAAAACATAAACTGAGAATTTTATCCTTCTTTCCAGAAAAAATATGATGATAAAGAGGCACAAGCAGCCCTAACAGACAATATTTTATGGATATCTTATCACAGGGCTGAAGTATATAATTAAACATTCAGATGACTTACATGAGGAAAACTAAACACGGAAAAACTTTGTAATTGATATGTCAATGAATGGAATGTGCAAACAAAAATCTGCCTTCAAAGCGACTCTTTTTTTTTTCTCTCTCTCTTTCTATTGGACAATAGTTATAGTGCGGTAAGACCACATTCAAACTATACAGGTGTAGAAAAATAAAATAAACAAGAGCAAAATAACGAATAAATAATAATGAAAAAGTATTTACAATAAATAAAAATAAAATAACTTAAAGATGAGTAAACAAAAAAATAACACATTTAAAAATATACAATTAATTTAATTTTATAATAATACAATTAATACTGTTTTTTTTTTTCAAATAGACTAATACGTAAATTTTTTACAATTACGAAAATCGCGATGATTTTTAAAATATTACTGAAATAAAAATAAATTACTGTCTAATGGTAAAAAATAAATAAATTGAAAAAATAATTATATATAGATATTCAAAACATTTTAACCTGAGTTTTGTAATATTAAATAAAAATCGAATAAAATCTATCTAAGTTTCAATTTCTAGTAAATTTATTGAATTTTGACAGAATATGGATATAAATCCATATAAAGATATAAAAATATTTAATGTTTCTAGTAAAACTAAAAATAATATTTATACTCCATATATCTTTTTTCAAATAAAATTTAAACATTAAGGAATATGAAAGTATCTCTTTTCCTGGTCATGGATAAAATGTATTTCCAAAACAAAATAAAACAAATATCAACCGACGTAGCACTAGGGAATATAGTATACTCTTGTGGACTATGACCAAAAGCTTTACTGTCCGAAAACAGAATAAAATAAAAGTAGGTTTTATTTTTAACCCGCCGAACCTAGGTCTGGATACTTGTCAAGAAATATATATACTCCTAAGAAATAAAACGAATACCAGCAAAAAATAAAGAAAAAAATTATTATTAATCTATATAAATATACTCATAAACGAATTATAAATAAAAGCTATAAAAAGGGTTGTTTCTTATTATTATATTTAAATTTATAATATTTCAGATTTGACTACTGCGACTGATGAAACTGAACAGATGGTTAGAGTTTAATATAATATTTATGTAGAAAGGTTATAATCACTTGAAATAATTGTTATTTGAAACATATGGAAGCATAATTGTGTACCAATTGAGCTATTTGTTGCTCTAGCTTTGAAGAGGATCCCATTGTTAACTTTAAAAAAACGGGATCGAAACGTCGAATAAACAGCAGGAGCATTTAGTACTTTATTAAATAATTATTAAGTGACCTTATTCCCAATTAAATTACGTTAAAATATAATACTCAATGGTCGATTAAAAAAAATTGTAAATATATATTTAAAAGGTATTAGTAAAAACCATCCAATAAATAAAAATGTAAGCATAATTTATATGATAAGATGTAAAAATGTCTCAGTTATTTTTAATATATATTATATATATATATATATATATATATATATATATATATATATATATATATTATATATATATATATATATATAATCTTATATTATAGTTATTTCATAATAATATATGATCTTAGTATAAGAAGAGAACCCAGGCCATATCCTAGGTGTTTAGCATGCAAGGGATAGCCGCCCTTTCCCCACCAACTACGCATATTCATTATCCCCCAGCACTTGGGAAATTTATCGTTTCTACTCTTCCCACTTATCATTCCCTTTTTTATGCTTCAGAGCTTTTTTTCAATTACTCTCTAAATACCAATACTGCTCTGAATGCCAAAAGTTTTCATCTGTTAAAAAGTTGATTTAGTTGGAGGAAACGTCAGAATCTACCATTCAATGAAAACCAAAAAGAATGGCATACTTCGCAATCGATTATTCTGAAAAAGTTTAATGGTCATAAATCCAACCAACGCTCACTTGAATGTCAGTAAAACACGCAATACACAGAAGACTGCCCGTCTCATGTATCTAACAAATAAAAAATGACTGTATCAGTAAGGTAATATACCATACCATATACAAGGAGATGGTACTGTCGGTATTTATACTTCATTTATTCTAGAGGCCGCCGGACTCGCGGCGAAGAGAAGGGTGTCTTAACCACAGAGTAGAATAGAAATATATTCGTACATGAATCCTAGAACTTTCCTTAACACGGTACCTGATGAACATGATATCTCTTAAATGTCTTTACCGACAATATCGGTCCCCGTTGACCGACACTAGTTATGAAGTTCCTAAGAAACATTCATCAGTTTCGAGGTATACCGCTATCATTTGACAACAAAGGTGAAATAAAATTCAGTGGTTCTATCTGTTGATTGTGCCCTCATTAATGGCCAGCAATCGGAATGGACTCCGACGTCCGAGGTGTAAATCTTAAATATTGAAAATTAAATGAGAAATGTTTATTTATTATATGTTATTATATTTTTATAATTTTCATGATATAATTTATACATTATTTGTGTAATACCTTTTCAATGTGAAGATAAAAAATCTAAGTTACATAATATTTACAATGTTTAACGTGGCAATGCAAGAAAAATATAGGTATTTGGGTATTCACTATTACATTTGAATTTATTTCAACAAAAGGAATAATGAAAGTGAAGTATTAAGTTACTAGCTGCTTGTGGTACTGGTTGAAGTAGGATTTGAAACAGAATCCGGGCATACCATCACAGTCCTCACAGAAACTAGTGACTTTCCGTGTTTTCATATTTGCCTCCTTTCTTCCTCTTTCTCAGTTCTCTGTAGCATTGTCTGCACTGCTTTTGCTGTTTTCATCCCTCACCTTTAGGCTTAATAAAAGTATTTATACGACGCATCAGACGTGGTGATGCTGGTCGGCGCTGAGTTATGAACCATACCTTTATCTGGGTTTTTCTTTGTTTATGTTAAATATGGTTAAATAATTGACCCCCGACATTCCAAACATTATCTCAATCACCATTCATGTGCACTGTCCTGTCACGACAAGAATATGTATCGGACACGGGAGGATGATACCATAGGGAAATAATTTTTTATCAGTCAGGAACCGTGTCGGTCCCCGGCGTCCTACAGCTTTATTTCAGATATAATGATTATTTACGTTTGTATCTTTACATCTATCCAACTCCCATTCAAATATTTTTAAAAATGGCCATTTTAATGAATTCGTCAGATAGGCAAAAATCGACACAATCCCGGCCGCTTGACAGCCGAGGCGAATATTGGAACCGTAACCGCAGCTAACGTATTTGTTAATTTTCTATCTCACGTCCTGAAGAACGGGCATCGGCGGGATGCGACTTCAACGAGGATGTCCTAAAATAACATAGCATTAAAGGATAAGCTGACTAGATTAAAGAAACAAATAGACTAGTGATCAGAGAAAAGGACTACAACGACGGAGAGAACTTTAGGAAGATAGAAGATGCAAAGAAATTTCTTTTAGTAGAGAGGCAAAGGTAGGAAATAAGGAGGTGGACAAAAAAAAAACCTTCAAACAAACAAAATTTTTATAAAAATGATATTTTTTTTTAATTTAAAGTTTTTTTTTTCTTCTTGATTTTAAACTGATGTTGCAGATGTAATATATATTAAAATTATCATTAATTGCAATTAACAACAAGCCAAAGGACCAATCCATTGTGTTGAAAGTTTTATCCTCTGAATTATATTACCTTATCGTCTTAAATTTAACAACTTCGTTGTTCATTGTTTGAACGTTCCAAGTATCCAGTTTGTTTGGTTTTAAAAAAAAGAGAGAATTTCACAAATAGAACCTTCAACTTCTTTTTGGAATTTTCCTTATTATTTGCTATTTTGCCTTTTCTGAAATAAAAGTAACAATCAATAGAAAACAAAAAGAAATTATGAAATATGTAATATAAAAGTAAGTTACCGAAAAATTCAATTATTAAAACAATTTTTACAGATACTTTCTAGAGTTTATACAACTGCTTTTAACATCAACTATAAAGAGGAAAGACAAGTGAATAACAAAGTTGAGAAATTTGAATAATAAAGTATCATAATTCAGATGATAAAAATCATCAACATAAAGATTTGTGGTTAATTGAAAATAATGCTGATTTTAATGTAATATTATATCTGCAATATATGCAAGTTTAAATCAGATTACAATTATGAAGATAAAAAAACTTTTGGATTGAAACAGTCATTATTTTTTTTTAATTTGGTTTATTTCGAAGATATGTTCACACCACTATATATATGAATTTTTGTCCTTACTGAGCTCATATTAGGATGTAGGAATTAGGAGTATTATTTATAGCATATAATGCTTAAATCAATAGCCTCCTCTTTATTTCACAGTAAAATATCTTTTTTTTTTTAATCACTATTTTTACTTTTCTACCAATACTAGGTAAGAAAAGTATTGCGATCGGGTCAAAGTTCCGAAATGCGGTTTTCGACGGATCTATAAGAAAATCTGTTGCCCGCATAACACAAGCTTCACTATTTCCTCTACTTTTAACAGAAATTATTGCTGAACAAAATTAAGCTATGGCAAAAAGTTTTTGATCAGCAATATTAATGGTATTGAAATTTTTACACTGATCTGCCTTAAGCCGGTTTACATTGCTTTAGTTTATCAAATAAATCGTACTCAAATCTTTTCTTTGATCAACTTTCAGGAAAATAAATCTAATTCAATTTTTTTTTTTTTTTTTTTTGTTTCTTCATGAACATATGTAAAGATATAAAAACTTTTCTGAAATAGATAGGAAAGTCGTGTGAGTGGATATACCAGATTTTTTAAAATAAAATTTGTAAACATGTCGCTAGATATGAAATAGATAAAAACTGGAACAGTATTGATGATCAATTTTCAACAGAGGCTTTCAGTAGGCACCGTTAATCATTGCATTTCTTCCTAAGATATTAATATTTAATTATCGATATCAGAAGAAACGCCAACTATGGTTTCTCACAGGGTTCACCTTCTAACCCGATGTGAAAAGAAAATTTAATCCTTGCCAAAAAATGGGTTCTAAAAGCAATAATCCACCTGGACGGGGCTATTGGAGATTAAATCTGCTTCAAGCCGCCCACACAAATCATTCGACTCCTCGGAATGACAGAAGAGCGAACCTCCCTTCAGGGCCAACACTAAAATATGAGCACTGGCTAACGATTTATCAGATCATTTCTTCACACAAAATTATTTTCTGAGGTATATGGATAGATAAATTTTGGTTGGGATTTGCAATGTGTCCAACTAAGCCCCTTCAAGAGAGGTTTTACTAGAACGTAAACAAGAATTACCATAAATAATACCATTCCCCAGACTCATCATCAAAAATGTATAGACTTCGTAATGTAATTCAAATGAAACTATTTATAATCGAATTTAGTCTAACGAATTATGAATTATATAGAGGGTTGCACCTATTAATATTATTAAATATTTTATTTGTTTTGGGGAAGAAGAAATCCATTATGGAATATCTAAACATATTATTAAGAAACCATAATCTTAAAATTTCTCATATTATATTATAGTTTAGACTTTAATAAATTTTTAGTAACAAAGCAAACGTGTACTAACCCATTGTTTTTCTCTTTACTAATTATGTTTAATTTAGGATTGGATAAACTGGTAAAGTTTTTCAATGCAAAAAGGATGATCGGGGAAACAAAACAAAAGATGGGAGCCCAACAATTTTGCTAGGCAATTGTAGTTTAACACATTTAAAAAAAGCAGTTACATATTATTCAGAATGGTGTTAAAATAATAGATTATCTAGGTAAGACTAGCGGTCATAAAAAGACTAAAATAGTAACAAATTATTTAATTAAAAGCCAACGTTTCGACCCGACTTTGCAGGTCTTCTTCAGGGTGTTGTATGCAGTAAGGAGTTTTAGTTGATACTGACTATTGCATAGAAAATGACGATTGACTCTGTTTCAACTGCATACAACCCCCTGAAGAAGACCTTTTAACGAAATAGTTTAACACTATTTTAGTCTTTTTATGACCACCATCTCGGACCATCTTCTTACTCAATAATATAATATACAACAATATAATATATTAAACAACGACTACGGTCAACCATTAAGTATTGAATAGATTCTATGATACATTGTAATTTCGGTTAAAGGAGTTTACGATGGAAAATCTTAGAAGGAAACAAATTACATTTACTATCGTTACATTTGGATTATTCATAAAAAGTTTAATTTATAAAAATTACCGAAACCAGCCACATTCAGGGTTGGGCATTAACCGGTTGAAAATTGATACTACTAAGGAAATGACAACATGTTTATATGAAATGTTTTTATTCACTCTTGAATAAAAGTTAATATCAAAATTACTAAAATTTTATCAGATTAAAAGAACTACTGAAAAAAGCAAATAATGTTTAGTCATTGATTTCAAAATGGAAATTTCAATCGGAAAAAGGACCAATTTCTTTTTAAAGTATTAATTAAAAAAAATGAAAATGGATAAAATAAAATATCAGCTTTAAAATATTAATGTTCTTTTTTTTAAGTTTCCTAAAGGCGAAATAATAAAAAAATATTGTTTTTTTTTTAAATATTTTTCTTAAATTCCTTATAATAATAACAGGCTATCCAAAATAATTCATTCACGTTTATTTACCAATTAAACAAAAATATATATATATATATATAT